TAGTAATGATGATGCTGCTGATGCTGATGACGGTGATGACGATGACGATGACAATGCTGATGATGATGACGATGATGCTGATGATGCTGGTTATTATGGTGATGATGCTGCTGATGATGATGACGAGTCTGATGATGATCATGATGATGGTGATGATGATGATGTTGCTGATGCTGACGATACTGATGTTGAGTCATGATCATGCGGACGATGATACTGATGTTGATGCTGATGCTGATGATGCTGATGATGACGGTGATCATTTTGATGATGATGTTGATGTTGATGATGATTCTGACCATGCTGGCGACGTTGCTGCTGTGGTTGCTGCTGGTGTTGTTGATAGTTGATCGTGACGATGGTAAGGATGATGATCGTGATGATGATGATGCTGCTGATGATGATGATGATGGTGATGATGATGATGATGGTAATGATAAGGGTGATGGTGATGATGATGATGATGATGGTGATGATGATGGTGATGATGATGTTCATGATGATGATGATGATGATGATGATGATGATGATGATGATGATGATGATGATGATGATGATGATGATGATGATGCTGGTGGTGGTGGTGGTGATGATGATGATGGTGCTGATGCTCATGCTGATGCTGGTGATGATGATGATGATGATGTTGCTGGTGTTGCTGTTGCTGTTGCTGTTGCTGCTGCTGCTGCTGCTGCTGATGATGATGATGATGATGATGATGATGATGATGATGATGATCGTTGGGATGGGATATCGTGGGAGCCCTCTCGGGGGCTTGTTGGAGGCAGTTTCGATGCTGCTTTGGGGCCGTCTGGCGGCCTCTTGGAGGCCTGTTGGGGGCCTCGTAGGGCTCCTTGGAGCCCTCTTGGGATCTCCTGGGGCCTCTTCGGGCGGAAAGCTCGAAAAGTCGGTTCGTGTTTCCCCTCTTAGGCCCCCCTTGGCGCTGTCTTGGGGCTTTCTTGGTCTGATTTGGGCACCTCGTGGACAGTTTTGGAGCTCTGTTGTGCCGTCGAGGTGCCCTCTTGGGGCCCTCTTGGGGGCCTCTTGGGCCGTCTTGGGGCTGTCCTGGTGGCCCCCGGGGCCGTCTTGGAGCGTCGGAAGCACGCGAAACACATCAGACAAACACAGAGAACGTCATTGATGTTTGCCTCTTAGGACCCTCGTGGGGGTCCTCTTGGAGCGCTCTCGGGCCTTCTTTGGGGCCTCTGAGGCGGTCTTGGGGGCATCTTGGACCGTCTTGGAAACCTTCTGAGGGATCTTGGACGCCTTGGAGTCTGCCAGGGACGTGTGTGGGCGCCGACAACTTCGGGAAGAAAGGCCAGTTCGCGCGGCGAGGTGCGGCGGGAAGAGGGGGGGCACATGGAAGATGACAGGTAACCCTGGCAGACAGCACTTGGCATTCTAGCACGCCTCAACGTGCCATGGGGCATGGTGGAGGATTGAAAATTTCAAGACGGAGGGTTTTTTCCTGGTGTCTGGCCTCGGGGGGCCCTCGCCGGCCCCCCGGGACGTCCAACATCGGCTCAGGATGCAAAATTCGCCGTGTGGAGAGGAGTCGGGACTTCTGAGGACCCCGCACGGAAAAATACAATACCTCGGATCTCTGAATCTTGTGTTTTTTTTTTCCGATCTGCAGCCCCAGACACGCGCCCGCCGCCCTGGCAACACGAAGGCGGCCGGGAGCGACCATCGCGGGAGGTCAAGCACTGGCGAGGCGTCTTGGCGTGCTTATAGGCCCACCAGTGTTCTGAGAACCTCGTGTGGTTTCCACGAAATGTTCTAAGAACGTGTCTGGCTGGGACTGGATTGTTTCAACACATCGGTTTTATGCTCTAAGAACGCTTTTGGGTTCTAAGAACATATCGTGGTAGGCATATAGGGATGCTCAAGGGGGTGCTTCGCCCCCAGTCTTGGTCGTGGGCCGCGGCTCGCAGGCCAGGGGGAGCCTCTCCGCGCTCTCTGGTGGGGGTGGGGAGGCCTGGGAGCTCACGTGATCTCTCCCCTCCGCTGGGCATCGTTGAACCGATCCCCATCCCCATCCCCATCCCCATCGAGACCCCCACCAAGTTACCACCCCAGTTGGGGATACACCCCTCAAAACCTGAAGGGAACGACTTATATCCCCATCTAGGAGGGTAAATCGGCCAGTGGGGCCCAGGCCACGCTGCCGGGGATTGGGATCGGTTAAACGATACTCATCCGCGGCCCATGAGGCCCCAGAGGCCCCCCGAGATCCCAGGCCGCGAAGCGCCTGGAGCCTCGTCACGCACAGGAGGACCACAGCCCTAGAGACTTACGTCGGGCCTGCCCCTCTGCAGGAGCGAGATTCAAACATAGAATCAACAAGTTGTCTGGGGACGATGGTTAGTCTATTTTTGACTACAGTTGAATATTTTGTTTGGCGTCGTTTTCCGAGTCAGACCGATCTATGAGTGCCCCGGGGCTCGAGATGGGGCGAAGAAGCCCGTGGCGAACAAGAATTGCAACGCCAGGATGTAGTCGGGCACGTCCCTTTGCGGGGTGAATGCTCAAACATAGTTTTAAAGATTGTCAGGGGACAATGTTTCGATTGTTTGTTGACTATGTTTGGGCATGTTGCATTGTATTTCTCACCCAGAAGCCGCCTGCAGGGGGACGTGCCCGACCTGACGCCGGGATCTCCGGGCCGTTCCCTGCGGGGGCGGCTGGTCGCTCCCCCGGGAGGCAGCGCCAAGACTGGTGGCCACCTTCTGCGCCCAGCGGAGAGTCGCCGAGCCCGCGGAGAGGCGCCCGGATGGCGAAGCACACGCAAGAAGAAGCAGAGCTCGCCGAGCAAGAGCGAGCGCAAACGACAGGGGCACGAAACAAGCACGACGAGCGAAAGCGAACGAGAGGCGAACACAAGGACAGCGGAGGAAATCGAGCGAGCGGCGAAGACAAGAGCAACGGACGCAAAGGCAGAGGTCGCCAGAAAAAAAATGCGAAAACGGCAGGGAAACGGAACAGACAAAACGAGCGAACACGAGCGAGAGACGACAACAAAAAGGCCCGGATGAAAACGAACGGGCGACGAAAGCACAGACAACGGCGAACACGAACGAGAAGCGATGCACCACAAAAAGGCCAAAAGGCCAAACACACACACATCCTGTCGGAGGTCTGGGCGCGCTTCGTCCTCGCCCCTCGCGAGCGCTCGCGCGCGCCGCGCGCGGGCCAGGCGACCGGGGACGGCCGGGGGCGCTTCGGGCGCATCGAGGTCTTCAAGCGCGTCGGTGGCCCCCCCGGCCACCGCACGCGCGCGCCCGCGCCCGCCTATCGCCCCCGTGGGGCTGGGCTCCCCTGTCCTGGCGGCCGATTGGGGCGCGCCGGCCGGCCGGCGGGGGGCGGGCCCAGGTGTCTAAGGGAACGAACAGTGGCATGAGCATAAAAGCTCGGAGGTCAGCACGGGTTTCTCGGATCCGCGCTGGACTCCCCTGGCGGCGCCTCCAGCGCCGCCCCTGGCGCGCTCCGCGCGCCAGGGAGGGGGGTTAAGCGCCGATCCGAGAAATCCATCCGCGCGGACCTCCGAGTTTTTAATGTTATGTCACTGTTCTTCCCCCTGATATATGACGATGGGAGCTGTTCATTCTTGGCGCTTTCCCTCGACGTCGGCCTCCAGGGGCCCCTCAGCGCGCCCATTTCCGCTCTCGGCTGCTGGCCCGGCTCCGCCGCGCTGCTGCGTGCGTGGCCACGACGCCAAGCAACTTGCTTGTGTGTGCGTGTGCGTGTGCGTGTGCGTGTGCGTGTGCGTGTGTGTGTGCGTGTGTGTGTGTGTGTGTGTGTGTGTGTGTGTGTGTGTGTGTGTGTGTGTGTGTGTGTGTGTGTGTGTGTGTGTGTGTGTGTGTGTGTGTGTGTGTGTGTGTGTGTGCGTGTGTGTGTGTGTGTGTGTGTGTGTGTGTGTGTGTGTGCGTGTGCGTGTGCGTGTGTGTGTGTGTGTGTGTGTGTGTGTGTGTGTGTGTGTTTGCTTGTGTGTGTGCGCGTGTGTGTACAGCGTGTTCCCTGTTGTCATTCATTCCGCTGGAGCAGTCGCCCTCTGCCCAGCCGCCGACGCAAAAAGTGTGTGTGTGTGTGGTGTGTGTGTGTCTGTGTGGTGTGTGTGTGTGTGCGGGTGTGTGTGTGTGTGTTGGGGGGGGGCGCCGCTGGTCCCCCCCCCACGGCGCTTCCCCTTGCCGCAGCCGGTGGCTTGCCTAAGCGGGCCCGGCTTCCTTTCTCCCCGTCGTGCCGGGGCCTCCTCCTCCCTCGTGCATCGCGGCTTTAATTTGCATGCAGTGCGCCCCTTGTTGCCAGATCGCCGGAGCAGTCACCTTCTGCCCAGCCGCCGATGCAAAAAGTGTGTGTGTGTGTGGGTGGTGCGGGTGGTGTGGTGGGAGGGGGAGGGAGGAAGAGAGGAATACCAGGAGTGTGGGGCGGGATGGGGGGTGAGGTGGGACAGGAGGTGCGGTGTGAGGCAGGAGGCTGAGGAGCAGGGTGAAGATGAGGAGGGAAGCAGGGAGGTTGAGTCCAGAGGAGGGAGGTGAGGGTCTGTTTGAGTGCATGTTGCCCTGTTGTAGATTTGGCTCGTTTGAGTCTGATCTGTTTCAAAGGTAGTCCAACGGCCAGGTGCACGGAAGCAATAAGAAGATAGCGCACGGAGGGTGATCGGATGAGGGAGGGAAAAGGGGAGGGGAAAGGGAACGAGAAGCGGCCTTGCTGGTCAACACGGTGTTTGGCAAAGTTGATTATTGTTCTCTGTCCATCCCATCCGTTCATTGTTCCTCCTGTTCCCTCCTTTCTCTCTCTTGTGTTCCTACCCCCTTCTCCCGTCTTCTTCCTCTCGTCCTACTCATATCCTTCGTTTTTTTATTTCTTGTGATAATGTATCATTCGTCCTCGCCCTCTGCCTTATCCTACTCCTCCTACTCATCCTCCGTATCCACGTTAGCTCGAACCGCCATGATTCGGTTTGCCGCCCCGGCTGTGGTTCGGGCCTCGGCTGGTACGCCATGCCGAGCTTCTATGGGCGCTCGTCGTGCAAAAAAGCGCAGGAGGCTCTTGAAGGCTGCAACGGCGTGGACTTCTATGGATACACGAGTTGGCCCAACACCACTGGTGAGCAGGACGGCATCGGAGTCATCGAAGACGCCTCCGGCGAGACACCGCCGTCCCCTCTTGGCAACACCCCACTGTTGTGGGGCCGAGCACCGGGCAAACTCAGGAGGGGGAAACATCACACACACAGACACAAGTCATCGTCGATCCCCAGGAAGATGTGGGAACATATGGGAAGTGGGGGGAAGGCGAGAATCCAGAACATATCGGGGAATCCTGGGACTTATGTGTATTTGTTTGCGTGTCCCTGGGCCCCCTTCGCAAACGTTTGGCCAAGCTGCTGGCCTGCTGTGTGTGCTCCCGCAGCCGCACCTGCGCTCAAGAACTGCGTGCTCCGAGCGTCTGCCTGCGGCCCCGCCTCCCGCGCCCGCGCTCCTCCCCGCTCTGGTGGGCCCCCGCTGGGCCCGGGCAGTGGCCCTCGGCTGCCTCCGACCGCGGCGTGGCTCCGCTCCGCTGCGGCCAAACAGGTGGTCCCGCAGCCGTGGCGGAAGCAGTCCCAGACCGGATCGCGTCGCAAAAGAATCAGGACGGGAGGCTTTTGGCCAATTTCGGCCTCGGGGGGGCCCTCTCCGGGCCTCGGGACCGTCAAAAAAACTACACAGGATGGAAAGCTGGCCCCAGGGACATGGTCTGGACTTCCGGTGACGCGGTCCTGAAAAATAGGACGTCGCATGTCTGGGTTTGGGGAGCCCAGCAGTCCCTCGCAGGGGCTTCTGGGCCCCACCGAGGCCATCTCGGGGGTCCACAGGGCCGCCTCGGCGGCTTCCCCAGGCTTTGGCGGGGGGGGGGGGCATCTTGAGACCCACGTGCGTCCAGGCTACCTATTTCGGCACACCCCTGAGAAGCTTCGTGGCCCCATAGGAGCCCCACCGAAGGCCGCAGTTGCTGTGGCCATATGCGTCCGTGCCACTCATTCCGGCATTCCCCTCACAATTTCCGTGGCCCCACAGGGAGCTCCACCGAAGGCCCCAGTGACTGACCCCACATGCGCCCCCGCCGCCCATTCCAGCACACCCCTTACACGCTGCGTGGCCTCATAGGGGCCCCCACCGAAGTTCCCAGTTGCTGTGGCCACATGCGTCAGCGCCGCCCATGTCGGCACACCCCTCACACGTCTCGTGGCCCCTAGGGAGCTTTACCGAAAGCCCCATGGAGGTGCCCACGTGCGCCCGCGCCACCCATTCCGGCACACCCCTCACACGTTTCGTGGCCCCATAGGGAGCTCCACCGAGGGCCACTGTGGCTGTGACCACATGCGTCCGAGCCGCCCATGTCTCCACACCCCTGAGAAGCTTCGTGACCCCATAGGGAGCCCCACCGAAGGCCGCAGTTGTCGTGGCCACATGCGTCCCCGACACCCATTTCGGCACACACACAACTCACACGTTTCGTGGCCCCATACGGAGCTCCACCAAAGAGGATACGCACCATTGCGGTACTCACAAGTGCAAATGGTTGGGTCGTTCGCCCGGATAATTTTCAGAGCGTGAATTACCCACCCCGCTTTCGCTTCCGGGCAAAACCAAGCCATACCACGCGCCTCCTCGTCAAGTGGCCTGACCAGTACAGGCCGTAGTTTGGCATCGCTTGGTATCTCTTGGAAGCGAGGGTGGTCAAAAGCGAGATAGGTTTGTTTTCCCCCTAAGTTTATTCATGTCCGCACCCACAGTTCTGAGACATCGCTGCGTGCTCTTCTTAAGCGTGAGGGCCACGTGTGGGCCGTAGGGCTCTTAACGTCATGTACTCGTCCGTGCCAGTGGCGTTCACTGTAGCGTCTATCATGTACGTATTCGCGATGTTGGCCACGTCCGATTCTACAGTCACGGAGCAATTCAAGAACAAGTTGAGTACCTTGCAGCTGCATTCCAAGTATTTCACACTCAGCATTGTTGTTTTGATGGTCGCACATCTCGAGAAGATGTTCATCAAGATTCCGCGCCCTGGCACGTCTTGCATGCACACGTGCGGGACGCCCGATGGCATGGACGTTTGGGCCATGGCGCTCTTCGTGATCCGCATGGTCGACTTGATGTTTCGGTGGGCCTTGCCCTTTATGAGCTTCAAGCACGACGACGGAGACTTGTCGCTGGAAGCACCGCTACTCCAGTCGACCAAGACCAAATCCAAGCCGATATACACGGAGGCCGAAGCTGCCCGCCTGGGCTACTACCCCATCACCGCCGGCCAGCTGCTGCTGAAGGGCGGTGCCACGCTGGCCCTTCTGATCCCGGTTCCCTTCTCGCGCGTGGTGCTGGGGGACGAGACTTTCTTGCAGATGCTGCTCGGCGTCGCTCAGGGCCTCGTCATCGCGCTGCTGTGGCACGTGTGCTACGTGAGTATGCTCACGTCTCCCGCCTGTGGCCCGTTCGTTTACCGGTCCTTTGCTACTTCGATGGTTTTCTGCGGCATGGTTCGGGAGCAAGTCATGCGCGATGGTTTCGTGAACATCTCCAGTGCGTGCAGTGAAGCTTATAACAAGGCTGGGCTCATCGTCAGGGAGGACTTAATGAAGACAGGAGATTATGAGATTGCCAACCGCCTCAAACCAGCAAGTGGATGCTCTATTCGCAACGCTCGCGGTTTTGAATTCTTGGCGATCGAAACCTACAGGGATCTCAAAGATATTCGGGAAGACGTGGCGGAATTGAAGGGCTTGCAAAAGAGCCTTCAGGATACGGTAAAGCAGCTTGATGAGCAGCAAAAGAGACTCGAGTACCAGGTGAAGGTGAGGGAGGACGAGAAGAGGCAAATAGGGAGAGAAAAGGAACAACTTCTCGCAGAAGTAGCGAAGATTTCGAAAGAGAAGGATGCAAGAAAGAAGGATATTGCGGATACTCTTGGGTGGGACGTCACCGTTCGCCGATGCGCACTCGGGGCTTATTCCAAAAATCATGGCTTCGACGCTACCTTTGCGCTTGTCCGCGATGACGGGCTCCTCAGAGAGTTGCAAGATATGCTTTCCTCGACGTGTACGAAGCCAGACGACAAAGGAATCTCCAACCGTAAGAATTGGAGCGGTGACAGGGGATGCGCAAATCACCCTGGATTAGTATGCCAGGGCACGAAGTGTCCGGCAGGATGTTCTTTGTGGGAAACGCATAACGAAGTGCCCATCGACTTCAAGCTCGTCAAAGCATATAGGAACCAGAACATGGATTTATGGACAGCGTACGCCATTACGCGGGACAAGTTGTTGCGAGAGGTGGGCGACGTGAGCGATTTCAATAACACGCTTGTTTTTGAACACACTTGGAAGTCAAAGTTGGGCAAAAACCTACTGAACCCCCTCTGCTGCGAATGGCGACTCTGGCATGGAACCCAGTTCAGTTGTTGCAAAGCGATTTGCCAGACGAACTACAAGCTTGCATTGGCAGGTGGTCCGGACGGCACGTCTTGGACATCAGGACCCCTCTATGGCCCTGGCGCGTACCTGGCTGAGAGCATTACGCAGGCTGACGAGCATGCCCAGGAAATCATGGCGAGTGATTATCCTGAGGGTGTCGTTTACAATCCATCCAAAAAGCTATACAGCTGTGTCCTCTTCCGTGCTCTGGGTGGCAGAGCTAAGAAGCTGATCGAACCATCCCAAGATGAGAAAAAACAATTGAAGGAGGACATACACCTCCGTGGCACATACCAGTCCGTCTTCGGGGGTAGGCGTTCCCTGATGAAACAGCCGGGGGCCTTCAATGAGTTTGTGTTTTACAGAGAGGACCAGCTTTTTCCAGAATACATCCTCCTCTATGAGCGCCTGGTTGAAAAGCGAGCGCCAGCACGCGGCCGATGGTTTTCCTAGCGCCGCGCGTTTTAGCTGTTTAGTTTTGATCTCCCAGGGTGGAGGGCCAGGATTTGACAGCATTGTGTCCTCATGGTGCAGCTCATTCATGTAATAGTTGAATCGCCCCAGCGCGTTCACACCTGACGCAAAACATTGTCACTGTTCTGTTTTCCTTTGGTAGCGTGCTCCGAATCGGTTAGCACACTTATTGAAGCCGTTGCGAGCCGTCATGCCACATCTAGAGCAAGGAGAGGTGAATTCACAGGCACATCCGTTCAACCGACACTCGGCCATCACGTGATTCTCCTCGTCCTCCCGCCTCCCCATTTGAGTGCTGCTCCAGCCAGGGGCCGGCTGGCCGTTCCATGTCGGCCGGTGCCTCGCTCGTCGGAATGTCTGACAGCGACGGTATGGATGGCTCTGTTGCTTGCCTGGTCCATCAATGTTTGTGGACGAAGATCAGTCGAGAGGGATCATCTTGCCAAATCGTTGCCAACTGTCTAGGATAAGTTTTAAACATGTCTTCAATGCAGGAAATCATGTTTTACACATGTGCAGCACATGTTTAAGCTTTTCAGGCCCATCTTAAAATCAATGGTCGGATTGTTAGAGTGCCCATTGTCATGGCATCTACAAATCAATGGGTCCCATGGTTCCATGGCGCACGGCGGAACGAGCGGGAAGAATGAGGCACAGCCAACGCAGCAAGAGAGAGAGAGAGAGAGACAACAAGCGACACAATCTGACGAGGCATAGGGAGATCATGAGACGCATCCTCCTGCGAAGATAGTGTCGGAGCGCCACTGGTGCACGCACGGGCGTCTAGTAGCAAAGATGTGGTGAAGGAGCAGGAAGTGCATGGGGAGGAGGAGGAGGAGGAGGAGGAGGAGGAGAAGGACACAGAGGGTAGGGCGAGGGAGATAGATCAGGACGGGCACGAAGATAAGTAGGACGAGGAATAGCAGGAGTAGCGGAGGGGGTGGCAGGGAGGGAGGAGGAAGAGGGGCGGGGGAGGAAGAAGAGGAGGAGGAGGAGGAGAAGGATATGATCACATACACAGGCACGATCCCGTCTCTGGCCCGAGGCCAGTGCGCGGATTCCGATTTCGATTTCGATTCCGGTGCGGCGGATTCGATTATGGTTCTGGTCCAGGGGACAGTCGGGATTCCGATATTGGTCCGATCCGATGCTTGATTGTCCAATCTCTTCCGTTTCGGCTTTATGTTCGCCGAACAGATTTCGAGTTTTCGATTCGATGGCGGGTGGACTTGCGTACAAGAGCCCCCTGGTCAATGCAAGCACGCGCCTCGTCAGTCGTATTCACCCTGGCAGACGGTACGCGTCAAGGATCCAGAGCCCCTTCCGTGAGCCGCTGCGTCTTGCACTCGCGTGGGTTTCCGTTAGTTTCTCCCTCTCTGGCCTTTCGTATAGTTTCCCGTACTCTCCCGCAATATCCTCTCTCCTCGTTCCTTCCTCCCTCGCTCCCCCCTGACTCATGTTCTCTGTCATCGTCTTCTCCTGCCCCCGCGCGGAGGCGGAGGAAGAGGAGGAGGATCAGGAGGAGGGATGGCCGCGTTCGACTCGAGCTCCGAGGCCGACAGCGGCAGCGGGAGGGTGGAGGAGAACGACGATCGCAGGCGATGTTTCTCCCCCCAGACTCCGACCCATAGGCGAAAGGTGAAGCCGCCCCGAAGGAGAGGAGGACACCTCTGCGATACACCCCAAGGGGACTGTCAGGGATCGAGGGTGGACGCCCCCCCATCGTACATCCCGGGGTTGGGCCCCACCCTCCGGCCCATCCGAAAGCCCCGCGAAGCTCGGGATAGGGGTCGACGCATCCCTTGGGCCAGACGAAGGAGGGACCGCGCGCGGAGCAGGGCGCAGACAGGAGGGCGCAGGACGACGGCGAGGAAACTTCTCCGGCCCTCCCTGCAGGAGCGGCCCGGGTCTCCCCCCCCCCTCCCCCCCTCACCGCAGGGGCTGCACCCCGGGCCCCTGACCTTCTCCCCTCTGCTTCTTTCTGTGGCCTCGCACGCTCGCGCCGCATCGCCGATACATCACCGATGCATCGGCGATGCGGCTCGGTGTGGAGCCCGGTTTTCTCCACGCCGATGCCGCCGATGCATCTCCGACGTCGCCGCTGCATCGCGGATGCATCGATGATGCATCGACGATGCGGCGCGATCCTCCGACCCCATCTACTCGGACCCTATCTGGGAGGCCTCCACTCTTCTTCTGATTAGTTCCCGTCTTCCCCAAACCTCCTCGAGTCACGAAAGAATCACGGCGGGCGCTTCTTCGCCCTCTTCGGCCTCAGGGGGCCCTCGCAGGGCCTCGGGGCCATCAGGAAAGGACTCGGGATGAAAAGCCAGTCCAGAGGAAAGGGTCGAGATCTTTGGGGGTCGACGTTGCGAAAAATCATTCTGTCGGTGGTCTGGGTTCTGCTCCTTCCCGTTATTCCTCATCCTTGCCCAAGCCCTGACGGGCTTGGAGACTACACCACTTCACAGGTGCACCACCACTGCTACCACGCATCGCGTGTATACCCCCGCACTTCTGCCACCCAGCTGCACCCCGAACCATCCTCCTCCTTGGGTTGTTCTTGTATTGGATGCGCTGGGGGCGTCTTTGTTACGGGTTTCTTCCCATGCTTCCACTTTTCGCTCTTGGCTTTGCTCGACGTTAAAAACAACATCCCAGAAATTGGGCGTCACGCAGGCGGCATTGTGATATCTAGGAGCGCAGTGGAAACTCAACGAACACGAATGTAAGACAGGCAGGTAAGTCACAGGCCGATCCTGGACCTGAAGACGTAACACAGAGGGCACCCAAAGCGAAACAAGAACGTCGATGTTCAACACGTGGGGAAACGCCTCCCGCGTTTTCAGAGCATCTTATCATCGAGAATGGAAAGAGTCCCCTAACCAAACAAAACGCAATGAACACGCAGCCTAAATTAGGCTCCCCGTCTTTGCATCGAGGATAATCAATATGGGTGGTGTGGTTTGATGCGTCTGCTGGAAAGACCCCCTATCCCTAATGCCTTGGGCCTCGTAACTGTGGTTCGCTCCCAAAGGGGTAGGGGTCCTTTATATTTCTAATTATCTAAGCCTGTCCCCCTCCCACCTCATTTCGACTCCACCGGCTCGATGCGATTCAATCAATTTCGATGGCTTCCGATTCCGATTCGATTCGACTTCGGACTCCGACTTGGACCCCGATTTCTTCATGGAGGCCGACTGGCCTGCCGATTTCCGCCGATTCGACCTCTCCTGACGTGGTTGCCGATCTTCACCGATCCGATTATTCTTGCTCGCCGATCCGACTTTGTCGATTCGATCCTGGGCTCGCCTGCCACCTGCCCCCACTGGGCGCGCTCTGCCGGCTGCACCCCCCCGAAGCGCCCGGGGGCCGGCGGCCCGCGGCCCGCGGCCCGCTGGTGGCTGCCGCCTGCTGCTGCAGATTACCAGACACGCACACGCACACGCACACGCACACGCGCAATCACATACACACACGGCACACGCACACGAACACCCACACGCACACGCACACACGCACGCATGCCCACACCCGCGTACGCACCCACGCACACGTGCACACACACACACACACACACACACGCACGCGCACACGCACGCGTACGCACACGCACACGCACACACATAATTACACACACACACTTTCACACACCCACACACACACGCGCACACACACACGCATACATAAATACGCACACACATACGCACATACACACGCACACACACACACACACACGCATACATACATACACACACACACGCACATACACACGCACACACGCACACGCACACGCCCCCCCCAAACACACACACACACACACATACACACACACATTCACACACACATTCACACACACACACACACACACACACTTACGTAGCACCCCGCAGATGCGGATAAGAGTGAGGGGGCGGTGGGGACGTCGGCAGTCTGCGAGACTGGAGAAGCCCGCCGCAGGCGCCGGTTTTTCTTCAAACCAATGTGGATCGGTCGCGGGTGGGTCGCGGGTGGGTCGCGGGGTGCGTCGCGGGTGGGTGGCAAGTGGGTCGCGGGTGGGTCGCGGGCTGGTCGCGGGTTGGGTCGCGGGTGGGTCGCGGGGTGGGTCGCGGGTGGGTCGCGGGGTGGGTCGCGGATGGGTCGCGGGGTGGGTCGCGGGGTGGGTCGTGGGTGGGTCGCGGGGTTGGTCGCGGGTGGGTCGCGGCGGGTACGACGATAACAAACACAAACAACAACACCACCACCAGCAACAACAACGACGCAACGAGCAGAACTCTCACCACGGATTGTCACTTCAGCCACGCACCCAGGGACAGTGAATGACCGTTCGGCCCCATCACTCTGACACAAATAATCAAACACCCACACACACACTCCTCGGACATCGCCTCGCCGTCCATGGCGCCGTCGAGGGAGGTTGGGTGGAGGCAGGCCCAGATACTTTCGAGTCACGAAAACATTACGATTGGCGGCTTTTCGCCATTTTCGATTTCTCGGGGCCCTTACCGGGCCTCGGAACCGTCAAACAGCGCTTCAGGGTTGAACACCCGTCCCAGAAAATGGGTCGAGACCTCTGGGATTCGCCGTTTAAGCGTTTAAGACATCATGCCGTCGGGGATCTGGGGCTGGGAGGAAGCTACGATCCGTCAAACTCGTGTCTCGTGTTTTTCAGTCTGCTTCTGTCTTGGATCTGTCCTCCCTCCTCTTCCTCCTCCTCTTCCCCTCCCTCCCTCCCTCCCCCCCTTCCCCCTTCCCATCCCATCCCATCCCATCCCCTCCCTCCCTCCCTCTCTCCCTGCGGGAGTTGGATCCATGCAGGCTTGTCCTGGCCCCTTTCGTGCGGCCCTCCTCTCGACCGTGGGGCCCCCAGGTGGGCTTGTCCCGCTTCTCGCGGGCAGCCGATCCGAGCTGATCCTCCTCCTGCCTCTTCCTGCCACCTCCTCCTCCTCATCATCATCATCATCATCATCATCATCATCATCATCATCATCATCATCATCATCATCATCATCATCATCATCATCATCATCATCATCATCATCATCGTCATCGTCATCGTCATCGTCATCGTCATCGTCATCGTCATCTCCTCCTACTTCTCCTCCTCGGCCTTCTCCTGCCACCTCGTCCTCCTCCGGACCGGAGGAGGCGGGCCGGAGGAGGCGGAGGAGGAGGAGGAGGCGGAACCGCACATGGTTCAAAGAAGAAAACACGCCAAAAGTTTACGTGGATGGCGTTTTTTCTTCTTCTGTCATCTTCCTCCTCCGAGGAGGCGGAGGAGGAGGAGGAAGACGAAGAAGAGGCGCAGCCGCATCCATGGTACAGGTTTGCGGGCGAGCTTGGGCCCTCAGAGGCTTCGGAGTATCTGCGAACGCGTCCGGGGGAGCTCCTCCTCCTCCTTCTCCTCCTCCTCCTCCTCCTCCATTCTAGGCCGTCTAGATGGAGTAGGAGTATTTGAGGTCGGAGGATCGCGCCGCATCGCCGATAAATCACCAATGCGGATCGATGTGGAGCCCGTGATTCTCCACGCCGACGGCGCCAATGCACCGCCGACGTCGCCGATGCATCGCCGATACATCGCCGACGCATCGGCGATGCGGCGCGATCCTCCGAACCCATCTACCCGGACCCCATCTAGGAGGCCTCTATCCATCTCCTCGTCCTCCTCGGCCTGGTTCTTCTCCCCGCCGCTGCTGCTGCTGCTCCGTCTCGCCCTGCCGATGCCGCTGCTTCCCCTGCTCCCCCGGGCCCTGCGCGCGGCCGCCCCCCCCCCCTCCTGCCACCTGCCTGGCAGCGCCCTGCCCCGCCATCCTCAGACCCCCGACGCCGCCTCTTTTGTGCATCACGTCGACCCCTAAAAAGCTCTCGACCCATTCCCAGGGACTGGCTTCTCGTTTCTGTTGACGGCCCTCGGAGGCCCGGCGGCCCTCGGAGGCCGAAGATATATAGCAGACCACCTCCCGTCGTGCTCCCTGTCGTGACGCGAGGGGGTCTGCGCCCCCCCCTGCAGCCCCGCCTGCCCCCCCGCCAGGTGACCTCACCGTGGACCTGTCGAAGCACGACGGTTGCGAGCAGAGCGTGCAGGCGGCGGCCGCCGGCGGCCTCATGCGAAGCCGCCTCTGCCGCGCGCCGTCGCCGCCATCGCCGCAGCCGCAGCCGCCGCAGGCAGCCAGCAGCATCCGCAGCTCGGCCGCCCCCCGGTCGCCGCAGCCCTCGCTCGGCCCCGCAGTTCGTCATGAATCCAGCCGTGGCGAGGCGTCCTGGCGTGCCCAAAGGCCTACCAGAGCATGTCCTGAGAACCTTTTGTGGTTTGCACGAAATGGTCTTAGAACATTTCTGGCCAGGGCTGTCTTGTTTAACACATCGGCTGAATGTTCTAAGAACGCTGTCTCTATTATTAGAACATCTTTGGGTTCTCAGAACATGTCGTTCGTGGTAGGCCTGTAGGAATGGCGGGACGGTCGGTCCCTGCTCAAATGAAGGGGAGGGGGTCCTTCGGTGCAGGGGGGGGATAAGCTTTAGGCCCAGACCTCCTCGCGATGTGAAACAATCAGGACGGAAGGTTTTCCGCTACGTTCGGCCTCCGTGGGCCCTTCCCGGGCCTCGGGACTGTCCAAAAACGGTTCAGGAAGAAAAACGGGTCCCCGGGAAGGGGTCCAGACCTTTGGGGGTCGACGTCGTGAACCAATCACGGCGTCGGGGGTCTGGAAGGGGGGGCGCATCGAAGTCGTGAGGCTCGAGGTGCGAGGCTTTCGGCTGTTGTTTCGTCGGTTCTCCTCGGCTCTCCAGCCTCGGGGTGCCGCCTTCCAGCAGCTGCGTCTCGCCCAGGGCGTTCCGGGGGTGCCCGGGCCGTCCTGGGCGGCCGCTGGGGAGCCGAGCTATTACCCGAAAGCCAAGGAACAGCGGCAGGGGGGGGGGCAGGCTCAGGGAGGGACGCAAGGACGCCCAATCGCCCACGCATCGCAGATGGCGGCCCGATGGCCCACCCCGCCCAGGGGCGCGCGAGTTCGCTATCGATGGCCAATCCCCGATTTGACGGCACATGTACCGCCGATTCCGCCGGCCGCCCTCGGCTTCTTCCCCCCTCGTCTTGCACGCCGGCCAACTCGCCCTTCGGTTGCCCCGAATAGCCACACGCTGGAGCGGACTACCTCTGCCTCGCCGCTGACGACGAGACGACGAAAAATAATGCACAGTCGAGGCTGATTAGTAGCTCGACCCTACCAGATGAAGAGTACATCCGTGTCCTGTGTTTCGCGACCCATCCCTTCTACATTCCTATGGCAATGTGGACCTCGGAATCGAGCAGTGTCGAAGCGTCCTGGCTCGCCCGTAGGCCCACCAAAGAATGTTCTAAGAGCCGTTCGTGGTCTTCACGAAATGATCTTAGAACATGCCTTGCCGAGACTGACCTGTTTTGATACATCGGCCTCATGTCCTAAGAGCATTGCTTTTGTTATTGGAACACTGGTAGGTTCTAAGAACGCTCCGTGGTAGGACTATAGGAATGCCGGGACGGTCGGTCCCTGCTCAACGAAAGGCTATTGTGTCCTCTCGCATGTCCTCTTCAATCGGCCCCAGCTGTATCGCCGCTTCCAGCTCAACCTTTCCTCGCGGAGCCGGTCCCACCCTCACGCCCCCGGGAAATGGGCTCTCAGGTCCTGGGCCGTCCCTCGCCTTCTCTGCGGCCCCCTCGCGAGCCCTGGGGCCGTTAGCGGAGAGCGGTTCGGGACGAAGAGCAAGTGATGGCTAGGGTGAGGTCGGGCTTGTCCCTCTACAGGAGCAGCATCTGGGGACGATGTCTCGAGTATGCTTGGCTAGTGGAAAGTATGTGTTGACCATGGTTCCTCTTTCTTGCAAGCTCCGCCTGTGGGAGGACATGCCCGACCTCAGGCCATGGGGCAAGGCCCCGGGGGCCCAGGGCCCGCTTCGTGCAGGACCCGCCTGCCTCGTGCCAGCTGTCGAGCTCGCGGCCCTGGCGTCGGCGTCTGGCGGGCGCGGGTGGTGTGAGGGGGGAGGCGGTGGGAGCAGCAGGTCCGAGAGGGTGGAGAGAGAGACTGCGGGCGCTCCAGAAAAGGCCTTGTCCTCGAGGGTCGAAGGAGATGCCGGCTCTTCCTCGGCGGAAGGCGGCGGAAGGTCGGCGGAAGGCGGCGGAAGTAATTCGGCGGCGGGTCCGCTGGCGGAAGCCAGCGGTAGGCGGAAGTACAAGATGCGCGCCCAAGAGCTGGTAACATGTTTGGGTTCAGGGCTTCCAGAACCCGCCATATGTCTCTGCACCCTTTGGGACCTGCTCCTCCCCTGTCCACTCCCCCTCACGATACAGCTGGCCCGAGGGTTTAGGGAGCAATCCCGGTTTCGGAGGGGCATCCATGTGTTCTTCGCGTGTGGGTTCTCCGCCTTGCAACGCCCTTCACTTTGGATACCTCCGTGGGGCCTCAGCCCTTCTGCGAATGGGGCCCGTGCTCACGCTCTTGTGGCCATGTCCCGACTCTGCCCACCCCACCGATACGGCACTGGCTATCGGTGTGCCGGTGCCCGCTGCCTGTCCGTTGCCGTCACGGCCAGAATCGCTTCGAGAGCTCGTTCAGAGCGCGCCCAGCGGGCCCCGCCCGAGGACGGGGACGGGTCGTTCCACAGCGTCCCGGGCCGCTCTCAGAGCGTTCTGGATCGCTCGGAAGAGGCCGCGGCGCCGGATGCATCCCCCAGGACTGCCGGGCCTCAGGGATTCCTGACGTATCCCTGTCCGATGTTGTCCCTGTCCTGGCTTCGTCAGGAGGCCCTTGGGGGCAGCGGCATCGGCACGCCCCTGGGAGGGAGGGAGGAGGAGGAGGCGGAGGAGGAGGAGGAGGAGGAGGAAGGAGGGGGGGCGCCTGGGCGTGCAGACGCATGGGGGGAGGGGCGGGCACAGGGCTCCACCTTCTCTCCCTCCTTCTCCGACGGGGGGGGTGGTAGGGGCGACTTGAGGGTAGAGCGGGACATTGAAATGGGGAAGGGGTGGCGGGCAAGAGGCGCAGGGAGGCAGAGGGAGAGTGAGGAGCGACGGCGGGACGGAGTGGCTGAGCATGGTGATGCACGAGAAGGAGGCGGTGGGGAGGGGAAGGGCGAGCAGGGAGAAGGTAATTACAGATGTGAGGAAGACCTCTCTCTCTCTTTATCTCGTTCTTCCCCTCTCTCTCTCCCTCTCTCCCTGTCTTTTTTTTCTCTCTCTCTCTCTATATATATATAGACACATACATATCCATGGCTTCTGTTTTTCTCTCACGCATTTACTTCCCATGAACAAATAGGTCATACATGTTCGTATCCCTCTGTCCCTGTGTACGCACATGTAATACAGATGTGTCCTTCAACTAGTCTCTAGATTGCTCTCTCCATCTTCCCACTTCCTTTTCCTCTCTCACTCTCTGTCTCCATTTCTGTCGGTCTGTCTCTCTGTCTGCGTGTCCCTCTCTCTCTCTCTCCTTCCGTCTCCGCTATGTCTCTTTACTTGAATTGCCTTTCCTCTGCCTCTTTCTCCCTCCCCCCAGACCATGCTGACGTCTCTTCGCTCATCCCGAGAGGTGCCGTGCAACATCCCGGGAATGGCCACCCTGAGCATGGGCCTCGCGGTGGCTGGGGGGCCGTCCGGGTCGGGCTGTCGAGAGGGGCCCAGACCCAGACCCCTTCGAGGCATGACAGAAATCACGACGGGAGGTTTGCCATTAGTCACTTGATGCCCTTTCCAGGCCTCGGGGCCTTCGAAAAACGACTGAGGATGAAAACTGGTCCCGGGGAACGGATTGAGACCTTCGGGGGTCGAAGTTTTGACAAACATCCTGACGTTGGGGTCTGGGTCCGTGTCGGGCTGTCGAGGGAGACCCATCGACCCCCGACGTCGTGATTTCTCATAACGTCGAGCCCAAAAGGTCTCGACCCATTCCCCCAGACTGGCTTTCCATCCTGAGTCCATTTCTGACGGTCGTGAGGCCCGGCAAGGGCCCCCAGGCCGAACATCGAGAAACACACATCCGCTCCGATCCTCTCAGGACGCGAGCCTGCCTGGCCGTCTCGAGCCAACTCGGCCGTCCTGAAGGCCTCTTGGAGGCCACCCCTGGAGCCCTCCGGAGCGGAAGAATCCCCGCCCACCGGGCCGGGCTGTCGAGGGGGACCCAGACCCAGGACCCCCTCGAGCCATGGACAGAAGCCACGACGGGAGGTTTCTCCCTCTTGGAGGCCCTTCCCGGGCCTCGGGGGCGTCGAAAAACGACTGAGACCTGCCCTGAGGTCCGACGTAGCGAAAAGAAACAACATCGTCCACACTCACGCCTGGAGCTCCAGACCTCACTTCTCTGCGCCATTTTTCGGGCCGGATCGACCTGTGAGGGCCCCGGGGCCTGAACAGAGACGAAAACGCCCGGCTCGAGAAAAGCGAGACGCCAGGATCTCAGAGGAGGAGTGGGTACCTCTTCCTCCTCTGACCCCCTGCCTCGAGGCGCCTCAGCTGGCCCGCGCTGCGGGCCGCGAGCGTGCATGCTCGGGGTGGGGGCCTCGGGGCAGCTCAGCGCGGGCCACGCGAGGTGCGCCCGCGCGGCCACGGCCAGCGGCCACCCCACGCGCACGGCGAGCGGCCAAAGGCACGCGCCACGCGCGCGCGGCGCCGGCCGCGCGATGTGCGCGACGGTGGGCGGACTAAGAGTGTGCACGCGTGTCTCGCCAAGACCTTGAGTGATCAATGCACGTCGGACCAAACAAAATGCATGATTAATTACCTCCTCCCAAATTCACAGTTGTCGGGTTTGGGCAGTAGGTCAAAGGCCAGGGACAAGATGTGGACTCTTCAACTTTTGGGGTGGTGGGGGAGGGAGGGGTGCGAAGCAAGGGCATTTCGCAGTTGATGTTGTTGTCATGTTGCATCGCCTTCCCGCCATAGGTGTGGGCACTTTTTGTCCAGGCACCGGAGCGCGCTGCCGGCAGCGGGTAACCTGCAGCGCGGGCCAGCTGAGGCGCCTCGAGGCAGGGGGTCAGAGGAGGAAGAGGTTCCCACTCCTCCCCTGAAATCCTGGCGTCTCGCTTTTTCCGAGCTGGGCGTTTTCGTCTCTGTTCGGGCCCCGGGACCCTCACAGGTCGATCCGGCTTGGAAATGACGCAGGTCCAGAGCTCCAGGCGTGATTTCTCACGATGTTGCATTTTTTCGCTACGTCGGATCTCAGGGTCTGCCCTTCTTCGTTTTCTCCTTTTTGGGGCCTCCTGGTCGCCACCGCTGGATGCGCTTCGAAATCCTGGTCAGAACGCACCTGTGGAGAGGTCTGGGGAGCAGGGGTATCGGTACTGACTGGCGTCCCCAAGGGGAGCGCCGTAATTAGATCACCACCCACCAAGCCGCCCCAACCCAACCCAGAAGGCGTCAATTTGCCACCTATTTCCAGGGAGGGGGGGGGGTCCGGGAACCAGCCCGAAATTCGGGTCTTCGGGTGGGGTTCGGGTGGTCCGGTCGGTAGTCGTTCGAGGCGGGGCGCCTGGGGGTCGTGGCGGAGCTGGGCGGGGAGAGCGCGTTGTCCCGGCCAGGCGCGCCGAGAGAGAGGCCCAGGCTCGGCCTCCGGGGGCCTCTGCGGGGCCCTCGCGGGGCCGTCAACAAGAGGACCCGGGATGAAAAGCCGGCCCGGGGGAACGGGTCGAGACCTCGGGGTGTCGTCTCTACGAAAGAATCGACGAGACGTAAGAGTGACCTTTTGCAGGAGTGACCTTTGGTGCGGGCCAAATGGGCCCCCCCGATCGCCGAAAGCGAGGCGGCAGCGGCGTCTTGTGCTATTGTGTTTGCCCCCCCGGCGGCCCCAAAAAACCGCGCACCAAAGGTCATTCCTACCCAGGGTCACTCTTGCGTGCAGCCGAAAGAATCATGACGTCGGGATTCGATGGGTCCCGCGCCGACTGGGCATGCCGAGAGAAAGGGTGGGGAGGAGGACACCGAAGTGCGGGCGGTGCAATTCTGTTCACGCTGGGCGTGTGCGCCCAGTCTCGAGCCCCGAGGCCATCGCGTAGTTTTCGATGCGGCTCGGCAGATGCCGCAGAAAGGTGGGGCCCAGGGCTCTGGTCGTGATTTTTCGCGATGCTGAATCTTTGTGGCGGCCTCGGATCTCTGGGGAGGGGAAGGGTGGGGCCTTTTTGGCTTGAAAAGGGCATGGCGCGTGCGTGCTCCTACGGTCCGAGTAGGGGATCGACTGCAGAGTTGATTCACCCCAGAAATCCATTGCGCAGGCCTTACGGCCGGTGCCGCCGACCCTGAAAGGGGACGACAACGACGACAACGGCGGCGGCCGCGGCGACGACGACGACGCTGATGCGGGCCAGAGTCCTCAGGGACGCTTTTTTGGGTTTCTTCGGAAGGCTCTCGGCGGTCTCTGGGGAGGAATTGTGGGGCCCCCTGGGAGCCTCTTGGGGGCCTCCTCTGCGGAGCCTCTTGGGGGCCCCTTCGGACTTCTTGGGGACCTCTTGTGGGCCTTTCGGGGCCTCTTGGGAACCTCTTTGGGCCTCTTTGGAGTCTCTCGGGCCCGAGGGCTTGAAATGTCCGTTCGGGGGTCCCCCGATGGGGCACGCACTTGGAGCCGTCTTGGGGGCCTCTTGGGCCGTCTTGGAGGCGTTTCTGGTTGTCTTGGAGTCCTCTTGGGCTGTTCGGGGGCCTTCTTGGAGGCTGCTTGGGCCGTCTTGGGGCGATCTTGGAGGCCTCTTGGGCCGTCTTGGAGCGGCGGGAAGCGGAAAAGGCGAGAACGCCCAACTCCTCAAAAAGACCGAAGGAACATCAACGGACTCTGCCTCTTGGGAACCTCTCGAGAGTGGTCTTGGAGGCTTATTGGGGCGTCTTCGAGGCCTCCTGGGCAGTCTGGAGGGCGTCAAGGCGTTTTCGTCCGATCATTTGGCGATTAGGGACCCTCTTGTCTGTACAGGATTGAGTCACCTCAACAATTAATCTCCTCGTCGAGTCTACAGCAGAATGCGTAGAGCGTGCGTAAATCTACTGACATGCCACGTGTTTTGGTAGATTCGACGGAAGATCCATTTTTGGGCATGTCAGTTCTGTAGTCGATCTCCTATTCGAACGGTGCCCCAGGGGCGGCCCTTGAAGGGCGCAGCTCCCAGGAAGCTCCCAGTAAAGACTGCGTTGTGAGAGCAGCGTGGCGCCAGGGACCTCGCGGGCGCCGACCTCGCCCTGACAGGTGCCCCCGTGGGACCGGCCCCGTTGAGCGGTGCTGGGCCAGGACCCTGGCATGTGGTGTCTAGTCCCGGCACCGTGCCAGCCCAGCACTTTGGGTGGCGGCTGCTCGAGGGGGCATCCGGGGGGCCGTCACGTGTGGCACCTCGTGCTTCCAGGCTTGGGAGAGCCGTGGTGAGGATGGTGATGATGATGAGGATGATGGGTGTGATGAGGATGAGGATGAGGATGAGGATGATGATGCTGCTGGGGCTGCTGCTGCTGCTGCTGCTGCTGCTGATGATGATGATGATGATGATGATGATGATAACGATGATTATGGTGGTGGATGTGGTGACGCTGCTGCTGCAAATGATGACGATTATGACGATAATGATACTGATGATGATTATGAGGAGGAGGATGAGGGTGATGATGATGAGGATGGGGATGAGGATGAGGATGATTATGATCATTGGTCATGGTGATGATTGTGATGATGATGGTGACGCTGATGGTGACGCTGATGGTGATGATGATGCGGATGATGATGATAGTGATGATGCTGATGGTGATGATGATGATGGTGATGATGACGATGATGATGATGATGATGATGATGATGATGATGATGATGATGATGATGATGATGATGATGATGATGATGATGATCATGATCATGATCATGATCATGATCATGATGATCACGATGATGACGACACTCGTTTTCGCCATCTTGGGGCTGTCTGTCTTGGCCTCCTGTGGGGCAGTCTTGGGGGTCCCTTGGGGCCCTCTCTTGGGGTCCTCCTAAGTCCTACGCTGGCTAGGAGCTCTTTTGGGCCGTCTTGGGGCTCTCTTGGCCGTATGGTGGGTGTCTGGGGGCCGTCGTGGGGCCGTCTTGGCGCCGTCTTGGGCCGTCGAAGAGCTTTCTGAGGCCGTCTCGGGTCCCACGGGAAGCCCTCTTGGGCAGTCTTGAGGCCGTCTTGGATGCCTCTTAGGCCATCGTGGCGTCCTCTTGGGCCGTCTTGAGCTGATGGCAGCCCGAAAAGGCGAGAATGCTAAAATCGTTCAAACGCCATGGGATATCAGTGATTTTGGCTCCTTCGGACCCTGTTGGAGATCCTGTAGTGGCCATTTTGGGCCCTCTTGGAGGTATCTCGGCCAGTCTTGAAACCAATATTCGGCCGCCTCGGGGCAATCTTGGACCGTCTCGGAGGCATCTTGGGCCATCTTGGTGCCCTTTGCGGCCTGCACTGGCCGTCTTGGAAGCTCGGGACGCAGATCCATCATTTAACAAAGGATCGTGGCTGGGGAAGCCTAGGAGCGCTTGGGAGCATCGCCTGGGAGTGCGAGAAGTGTACGATCCTCGAGCAGGTGCGCGTGGGATGAGGGGTCCAGGAATTAGCAGCTATGCGGGAAGTGCACAATCTTCGAGTGGGCACG